GCACAAGAGGAAAGAGGGTCAGAGGGAGAAGCAGCCCGATGTGGGACTTGATCCCGGGACTCCAGGATCATGACCTGAGCCGAAGGCAGTCGCTTAACCAACTGAGCCACCCAGGTGCCCCAAGGTAGCTTATTTTTTTAATTAGCCATATCCTGAGCAATCATAAGCTTTATGCTAGCTTTATGCATTTTTTTCTAATAAAATTTGAAGTAAATACATAGTCTATAAATAAAAGAAAATTCCACCAAGTACCATCAAGAATTGTGTTGTACACTCTCGGTGGTATACATACTAAACTTTGGAAAATACCAGAGCAGCTAATGAAAAGCATATATATATGCTGGCCTAGAATATATAAGATTTTGTTTTTGAAGGAACCTACTATAGTAACATTTCCATTGCATTTATTGGGATAGAAAAATCAACTGTTATTTCCATTATTCTTTCATTAGTTAGAGAATCTGATTCCAAAGATTACTTTTAAAAGGGGATAATAGGACCACCAGTTAATGGGTAGAGTTTTCGTTTTACACATGAATTAGCATAAATCCCACTCTCATCATGCCAAGGGTTGATGCCAAATCTTTTGGAACCATCAAGATCAGTGAACTGAGAACGGCATTTTCTGTGGACTACTGAATAATCATCTTGACAAGGATAATCCTATTGGGTGGGGGGAGAAAGAGAAATAATATTGAATGACCAAAATATGTAAAAACAAGTGATTTCTAGAAGTTGATCTTCAATATGTTAGTCTTATTATGATCCAAGTTTAATTTACACACAATTAACCTAATATCTCAAATTACAAATGCCTCAATGAAAAAAATGGCTACAGTATTTATAAATAATTTAATTCTGAAAACTAAAAAGATAAATTGTTACACATGTAAAACTTTTGTAAACCATAAATACACGGCCCAAAGAACAACTTAAATTTTATGATCACCTACATAAGACCAAAACAATTATAATTTAACTATCATTCAACACCTTTTTAAAGTTAATATAAATTATAATCATTCCAAAGAATAATATCTTAGGTTGTATCTTTCATAGTTGCTATCAAGTCATAAATGCCAAACTCAAAGATTTTTTCCTCCGAGGAATTGACCTCAGGATAACCCAGCATCATGTTTAAAGTATTTATCCTTAAAGCACTTCAGAGAAGATTCTGTTGTGATAAAACAAGACACTCTCATTGACCACTTCCCAAAGGAAATATTGATTCTCTCAGATTACATCAAGGGTAATGGCGGACAAGGAACATAAAGCCCTTGAACTGATTATCTAATTTCTGCTTAAAATTGGTACTAATTTTAAAGCACTAACACAATATTGAAATTAAATCACCAGAACTATAAAACAATGAAAGAACACCACAATAGTTATAATCTTAGATTGGCCTTATTGAAAATAATTGAAAAATTTAACTACATATTCAACCATAACAATAATAATAGGGTCAACGGATTTACTGAGTGTCTATTATGGGTTGGGCACGGTAGTTGGGTGTTTGCATCTTTTAATCCATAGCAGAACTCTGACATAGGAATTATTACTCCCACTTTACATATAAGAAAAGACAATTTGCTTAAAATCTCAGAAAAAGAGGATTTAAAGAATGTCAATATTAAGCAACTTAGCCAGGACTTCAAACTAACTAATTGTAAGATCTATTATCCCTCCAGTACCCCCATGAAATTCTCAATAATTAAGAGATGAAAAGAAATACAAATGACAAAATCCTAAAACTACATCATATCCATGTTACTTTCTATAGTTTGGGCTTTTGTTTTTCATAGTCAGGGTCTAATTTCTTTGGGGCTTGTATGTTGGGTTTTGGTTCAGTAGAGACCCTTTCAGTGAGATTTGAGAATTACTGGCCAAACCTGCCTGCTCACAGGGAGGCAGGATCTGCTCATTCCTAGGCAAGCTTCCGTCAAATTGAAGGAAGCGTCAAATGCAGGGTTGATGTGTTCCTCTAGCATCTCCTAGGCGGGAAGGATGATTTATTTTGATCAGGTGAGTGACAAGATTAAATGTGATGTTTTTTAAGAAAGGATTCTGGCAGCAAGAAGGTACTAAAGATTGAAGGTAGAAAGGACCAGATTCCAGAACTATAATTAGAATTAGAATAAGAACTCACATGTCATCAACTGATGTGGATAAACAAAATGTGGTCTATTCACACAGTGAAATATTATTTGGCAATACAAGCAATAAAATACTGACAGATGCTGTAGCATAGATGAACCATGAAAACAGGCTAAGTGAAAAAAACTAAACCAAAAGACTACACATTGTATGATTCCTTCTACAGAATGTCCAAAAGAGGCAAGTCCACGGAGACAGAAAGTAACTTTGCAAGGGACTAGGGGAGGGGGAGAATGAGAAGAGACTGTTAATGGGTGCGGTGACCAATTTTATGTGTCAACTTGACTAGATCACGGGGCATCCAAACATTTGGCTAAACATTATTTCTGAGTTGTGCCTGTAAGGGTGTTTCTAGATGAAATCAGCATTTGAATCTGTGGACTCAGTAAAGCAGTTTGCTCTTCCCGATGGAGGTAGGTGGGCACCTTCCATTCTGCTGAGGGAATAAAAGAAATGGAAGAAAAAGGCAGAGGAAGTAAGAATTCAGTCCCTTCCTGCCTGATTGCCTGAGCTCGGACATTAATCTTATCCTGCTGTTGGTACTCGTGGTTCTCAGGCCTTTAGACTGGGACTGAATTACACTACCAGCTCTCCGGGGTTTGCAGCTTGCGGACAGCAGACTGTGGGACTTCTCAGCCTCTATACTGCCTTAGCCAATTCCTTACAATAAGTCTCTTTCTCTCTGCATATATATATGTGGTTTCTCTCTGTAGAGAAACTTGATTAATACATATGGGGTTTCTTTTTAGGGGTGATGAAAATGTTGTCTAATTGATCGTGCTGATGACTATATGACTCTATGGATATACAAAAATCACTGAACTGTACACTTTAAAAGGGTGAATTTTATGGCATGTGAGTTATCTTAGTAAAGCTGTCATTTTTTAAAAGTGGGTAGTAGGGGTAAGCAATCTTGAAGTTAGGAAAACTAGTTAAGAGACTGTTTCATATTAACACACATGAAATTAAGTCTCTCCCATTATCAGAGGTGCATTGGTAAGCCAGCTCCCCACCAAAAATTCCCACACAACTTACCTGTGATATTTGCCAATTTCTGTGGTGTAAATACTCCTGCTATGGCTGACTTCGAGCTACCAAAGTGAGGTCAGTGGACACTGAGTTGGGGAAGACATGAGCATAATCAGCTCACGCAAAATTTAAGACGTGACTCCAACTCACCCTGAATCTACTTCTCCCATTTTGCATTGTGTGACAGCCATGCAATTTGGGTAGACTGATCCCACTCCAAACTGTAGGGGCAGAATCTAACCTATGACAATCACAATAATCCCTCACTCCTTTTTCAATGATAGTGATTGATCCAACGTCGGACATGTGTTTTGAGTTTGCCCAAACAAAGTAAAGCCTAAGACTTCTGTTCAGTGATTTGGAGGAAAGAAACACTTTTTCCATTGTTGGACATAAATGAGGAAGCATCTAGCCCAGATTTCTATTGGTAGCTCCCCTCCAATCAGTTTAGCATGAAATCAACACCATAAAAGGCAGATTTGAGAGTCAGTAAGAAGCATGACATTGCTGTATCACTCCTTTCCTGAAACCTGACTTTTCAAAAAAATGTGAACCAATAAATTGCTTTTATTGTCTGGCTTGACTTGAGCTGGGGTTTGTACAACCTACTAAAAGCATCCTAACTAATGTGTACCTGAATAATCTGCAATGTTGGAACACTGAGTTACTGAGAATCAGAGCAAAAAGAAATGGGTAAAAACTAGGAAGTAAGACAAATATATAAAGTAGGAGTAAAGGCAAACAATAAATTTGTGACTAAACATATAATCAGGAATTAGGACACAAATATGGAATAGATGAACAAACAAAACAGGACAGTAACAAACTATTAGGAACCTAGAAGGCGTAGTTATTTTAAGGAAGCAGGCTATGTTTTTCATGTTTTTCAAAGTTTAATACAAAAGGCACAAGACAGAATAAAGCAGCTGCACCAAGATTCACCTTGAAAGACCTTAATTTTTTTTTAAGTTTTTACTCATTTATTTGAGAGAAAGAAAGTGAGAGAGAGAGAGAGAGAGCACAAGAGGGGGAGGGTCAGAGGGAGAAGCAGACTCCCCACTGAGCAGGGAGCCCGATGCGGGGCTCCAGGATCATGACCTGAGCTGAAGGCAGCCGCTTAACCAACTGAGCCACCCAGGCACCCCTGAAGGACCTTAATATTGACTGCAGCTCAGACCCAAGGCCAAACTGAGATGGTAGGAGCCCTGAACAAGCAAGTAATTTCGTGTGCCACTCAAACCAAGTATACAGGGGGTGATCATCTCCAAATGATAAATAGTTTTGCCCTTTCTGTGTGTAACCATCCATTTGCCCAAGGTGAGATCACAGTTTGTTTCAGAAAAAAAATGGCAACCAAAAAGCAAAGTAATATCAGCTTCTAACATGCAAAATAGGATTTTTTAGCAAGATAATAGCCTTGCAATCCAACTCACAGTCTTGAGGACTTTAGAATATCAATGTCCAAACCTGGAAGACCTCAGATATTAGAGTTCTCCCAATATGTAGGGAAAATATCTTTTGTATTAAGTCTTAACCAAAAGTTGGAATGGATAGTAGGAAGACAGGGAAGAGTCTGTTTGGGGAATTATAGGAATGAGAAAATAAGGGAAAAGGGAAAAGAAGGACGGTAGAAAGAGCCAATGTATTTCCCAATTTTCCCTTTCCAAGACTTTAAATAGGCAGAGTCCCTCTGACCTGGACAGAGAGAAATGTATCAGATAAAAGGGAGTAATGGCGGAAAGGCATAAGGAGGCCCCCGTCCCTCATGAAAACTCGAAACTGAGCATCTCAGGCTGCCCTTTCATTTGTCTGGAGTACAACAATACCCAGGCTGGTGGAGCAGCATGCTCAGGCAGAGGAAGACTCTGAGTCACCTCTGGCATCCTGTGGCAAGTCTGCAAGGGGGTTACTAACAGGAGCTGCAAAGCCAAACACTGGAGCTGAGGCTGATGGGAGGCATGGGAATCTTCTGTTGGGTCTACAATACCTATGGGAGTGGAAATGAGGATGAGTTATCCCAGACAAGCCATCTGGGCTCCAACCTAGCCCAGAGAGAAAGAGAGGGCAATAGAAAAAGACTGACAGTTCAACATCCACAGACCACAGCCACCAATGCCAGCAAGGAAAAGAGCAGCTGGGTGAACTAGGGACATTACCTCAGAGACCAGAAGAGGCAGCACACACAAAAATCCTACTCTTGCCCTCTGGCATCGGGATGGTAAGTCACTTCCCTCTCTCCATATACTTGGATGCCATCTTAGAGTCGTAGTTACTTTTGCTGTGTAACAGGTCAACCCGCAGAGAGCAGTATAAAACAATCCCCATTTCTAGACTCTCTGGGTCAGGAATTTGGAAGAGGTATAACAAAGACAGCATCCCTCTGTTCCACATTGTCTGAGGCTTCAGTGGAGAAGACTTGAAAGCCGAGAGCGACTTGAAGGCTGGGGTTAGAAACATCCCTCACTCCAGTTGGTGGTTGATATTGGCTGTCTGCTGGGACCTCAGCTGGGCTATTGCCTGGAACAACTACCCAGGTCTTCTCTGTGGGCCTGCTTGGGCTTTCTCACATCATGGTGACTGGGTTCTGAGAATGACAATGGCACAGAGAGAACCAGGAGGAAACTACACTGCTTTTTATCACCTGGCCTCTGAAGTCACATAGCATCACTTCTACTGCAGTCACAGGTCACCCAGCTCTAGTGGAGGCAATAAGGACTCTGCCTCTCAATGGGAAGAGTGTCAAAATCACATTGCAAGAGTATGTGGGATGACCACATGTGCTGCACCCATTTGGGAAAAATAACAATCTGCCACATGGAGAAAAGTAGGCTGTGTTGGGGTTTCTCAAGATTACCGCTAGATTCGATGTACGTCGGTTGCCGTAACAACGGCAGCGGAGTCCATTGGCAATGGCCTCTAACTTTAAGAAGGCAAGCATGGCATCATCTGCCCAGAGAAAAAGGATGAGTCCTAAGCCAGAGCTTACTGAAGAGCAGAAACAGGAAATCCGGGAAGCTTTTGATCTCTTTGATGCTGATGGAACTGGGACCATAGATGTTAAGGAACTTAAGGTGGCAATGAGGGCACTGGGCTTTGAACCCAAGAAAGAAGAGATCAGGAAAATGATAAGCGAAATCGATAAGGATGGGACAGGAAAAATGAACTTTAGTGACTTTTTGACTGTGATGACTCAGAAAATGTCTGAGAAAGATACCAAAGAAGAAATTCTGAAAGCTTTCAAGCTCTTCGATGATGATGAAACTGGGAAGATATCATTCAAAAATCTAAAGCGTGTGGCCAAGGAGTTGGGTGAGAACCTCACTGATGAGGAGCTACAGGAAATGATCGATGAGGCTGATCGAGATGGAGATGGAGAAGTCAATGAGCAGGAGTTCCTGTGCATCATGAAAAAGACCAGCCTTTACTAAAATCAGTCTCTTCTTTTCATATTGTGTGAAACCTGGGTTTTGAGAACATAAACTATTTTCTCCTACTGACCTACCTGTACAACTTTAGTAACAATCTTGAATCTTTTTTAGGTATTTGAAAGTGTTCTTTGACATTTAAGTTCTCTTTAAGGTGACCTGCTGATTGCTTCAGTTCCCCAGAGCAAAACAAAAGCACATTAGAGTGGTGAAAAGGGTCTTAAAGCTTTCACCCACATGCATTTCTGCCTTGTATCACCTCACTCTTGTCATGCATTTCCACAATGATGCCACCCCAGAACGACTTCTTAGACAAGCACATGTTGTATCCATGCCACCAGAATCAGGGGGCATCTTCTTGATGTTTCTAGTTATAACTGACACCCGAGTGCCGCTTTCTCTTTTATAAAACCCAGTGAACTTACTCACGTGCATTTGGATGTGTGTTTGTGCTATTTGTTTTGTTTTAAAAATAAAGCCTTTCTTATTTAAAAAAAAAAAAAGATTACCACTAGATTCAATGATTTTGCTACAAAGACTCACAGGATTCAACATATAGTTGTATTTGTGGCTATGATTTACTGCAACAAATGGATACAAAGCAAAATCAGCCAAGGGGAAAGTGCAGGGCTGAAGTCCAGAGGAGGCCAGGTGCAAACTTCCAAGAGTCCTCTCCCGGTGAGTCACACAGGATGCACTTAATTTCCCCAGCAAAGAATTGTGAAATGCTGTTTACTGGGGAAGCTCATTAGAGCCTCAATGGCCAAGTTTTTTCTTGGGGGCTGGTCACAGAGGCACTCGTTGCCTTGCAGTACCAGAATTCCAGACTCCCACAAGTTCAACATGAACCATATTGTTTGCACAAACGGTTTAGGTGCAATGAGCCTCTCTCATTAGGGAATTCTAATCCCACAAGTCAAGTTTCTAGATGCTAGCCAAGGCTTTTTAATAGATAACAGGCTCAGTTCTACTATGTTAGTTCTTTTCTGCCAACAATGAATGGAAGATCTCTGAGAAAATGAGAGTTTTTTAAAGAAGATTGAACACCTCCTATAGGAACTATTTAAATTATGGAATCAGACTAAGCTGTAAATGGACTGAAGGGTTAGTGTTTTCCTACTGGTGGTGGGCTCAAGAAGAAGGCCAGTTATCAGATACTTTTCCTCTGCATATGTGAGTTGCAGACAGTTGTTGTATTCCCACACCCTAACATAATATTTACATGTCTGTTCAACACTTATTTAGTGGGAGTGGGAAGAAATATTTAGAAATCGTCCATAGAAGCAGTTATGTGAATCACCACATGTCGTTGTTGGCTGGTTCACTGTTCTGGTGCTACACAGACCCTGAGTGCTGACAACGTTTATTTAAGACAGGATAATCACTATGAGCTTTTTCTGAGCCCTTCAGGTAGATGAGGATCACAGAAAAATTTTGTCTGAGGTGTCGAATGGGTGAGTATCAGTGCACAATGGCTTACACAGAGCCAGACTGGAAGAGACATTTCACAGGAAGAACTTAGTGGACCTAGCAAGCCAACTGAAGATAAAGAAGCAAAGATGATCCACAGCTTCAAATCTGGATGGCTGGGAGAGTTCTAAAACCACTAAATGGAATAAGAAAGACATGGAGATGGGGGAGAATTCGTTATAGGAGAGAAATGATGAGTCACATTTTAGACGTTTTAAATGTGAGATGACATCAGTACAAAATCTTTGAAAGGTGGTGCTGTGGGATAGATGGCCTGGAGAGAGGTCAGTGCCCTATGCACAGTAGTAGTCATTGGCTGGGGAAAAATAGCTCTAAGGAACAGTATTGGGACCATGGATGATACTTGAATACAAACTGTGAATTACATAATTATACTGCATCAATTATTCCTTAGGTTGAAAATATTACCACAGCTATGTGTCCTTGTTCTTAGGAAATACACACTGAACTATTTATAGGCAAAGGAGCTCAAAGTCCCCAGCCTACTCTCAAATGGTAAGCGATTGGTGACTCTGGGTAAAGACTATATGGGAGCTCCTTGTGCCATTCTTGCAACTTTCCTGTAAGTTTGAAATTATATAAAACACATTACCCCCAAAACGTGATGGTTGAGGAACCATGGGAGTGAATGAATTCTCTGAGATTGCATAAAATGAGAAGCACAGAGTTCTGGATCCCAAGTCCTGTGGATGCTCACAGCTGGGTCCATAAAGAAGCCATGAAGGGCAGAGAAGGAGAGGCATGAAGAGGCAATGTCATAGATTCTGAAGGTCGAGGGAGGTGGAGGAATGCAGTGGTAGCCAACAAGTGCCCACTTCCAAAGAAACTTCATAGAGGGAAAAACCTGACAAAACACAAACCAAACAACAGTGCTGTTTCAGGGAACTAGAGGAAGTCGAATGAAACATCCTGATAAAAGATGGGAAAAGTGTGTCAGAGAAAGATATGCTGAGGGCAAACAGGCTCTATAGAAACAGGAAGCACTAAAGATGCAGCAAGAGAATATGGGGAAAATCTGCCTTAAAGTTAAGAAAGCTTTCCTCCTTTTCTTCTCTTTCTCTTCCCTCTTCTTTTAAACAAATCATGGACAGACATGGTCAGGATGTTACAGGAGTGTCTTCTTAGTGAGCGGGCCCCTACTTGACCTTCTGACATTATGAAGGACAAACAGCCTATGGTTTTACCACCTATATCAATAAAATGTATCAGCGTATCTTAAGAGTCAGGTATTCTGCGGAGGGGGAGACGAACCATGAGAGATGATGGACTCTGACAAACAAACTGAGGGTTCTGGGGGGGGGGATGGGTTAGCCTGGTGATGGGTATTAAAGAGGGCGCACGTTCTGCGTGGAGCACAAACAATGAATCATGGAACACTATATTAAAAACTAATGATGTAATGTATGGTGATTAACATAACAATAAAAAATTTTAAAAAAAAGAGTCAGGTATTCTGTTCTTAAATCCCCATCCCCTTCCCACCCCCATCCCCATGGCCCCCTGAGTGCTATATTCTTACTCTGAGCACCGTTGCCTCCTGAACTTTCTTCGGAATAAAATGACATGACTGTTTCTTAGTCAACTGTATTCAGTCCTCACCCAGTTTTGGTTATACTTAGTCTTATTTGATTTCATCTTATTTCTTTTGGATCTTTTATTTTTTATGGTTTTATTTTTCAAGGTCATTTTCAGTTTTCAGCCTGCTTTCTGAAACATCAGTAACTCTGCCTAATATTATACAATAATTTGAAAGCATAGTCTCAATTCCTTCATCCAGATCATCCATAAAAATGCACAATGTGTTATGTTTCCTGGCCAAATCAGTCACTGTGAACTAACCTTGTGTCCACCATTACAGATAATTATTAGCCACCTGGCATTCATAGAGCAAAGACCATTCTTCCCTAGCATACCTGTAAGTATGCTCATTTGGGGTACTTCATTTAGTCTTAAAAAGGTATTTGAGGCAGCAAGCTTATTTATGTGAATGTCACATTGGATGGAGTAAAAGTAAATAAATATACAGGTAGATTACTGTGAGATTTCATTTCATTATTTTCAGTATACATAATGTATAAAATTCTTTAGCTGTTATATGCACTTGACTGAAGACCTGTCATCCCCTAATAAGGTTGTCTTCTATACACACATGCAGAGTGATGTGGGAGAAAAAGGACAATTTCCATACAGCCAAATCTACTTTACCAACCCTAGGGATCATGGAGGAGAGGTATCTCAGACATTCACTTCCTCACTTCTTTAAAAATGATTTCATTTCTATTGGATATTTTCTTCTCCCAGTGATTACATTATAGACCTAAGAGTAAATGGCAAATGTAGCTACAACAAACATATTACTAGTTGGATATATTTTTGTTATGTATCTAAGAAACATTTATTATATCTTTTTATTTGATAAAATTTTACAAAGGAAAAACATTTGTAACCAGTAGAGGTATTCAACTAAAGGAAAAGTGTCAATGGGAAGTGCAAGGAAGTTTAGGCCAGGGATATAAATATAAATATCTATATCATTACTGAGTCTGGTCATCACAAAGAAAAATATGGAGATCTATATGAACAATCACTTCACAAAATAAGCTGACTTTAAACAATATCACACAAACTTTAGTAATGGCCAGCATCAAAAAATAAGCAATACAGTATTAAACTTTAGCTATTGACACATTTTTTATTTTTTATGCACAAATTTTGATTGGTCCTATCATTTTAATCATAGAAAAAAATATCATTTTTTTTATTCCTCAGTCTATATTATGTGAGGACACCTGCCACTATTTTATACTTATAATGGTACGGTTAGTTATAAATTTGAGGCCCAGGGTTCTCTTTTTTAAAGTTTTTTCTTCTTTACAAAAGTCAAATATGTTCACTGTAGAAGTTAAACGTAATTAAAAGAAATTAGAACTAAGCTTTATGATTTGATGCAGAAACAAAAGAAGATCATAATTATTTAGCTTCAGAAAGATATATAAAATGAAGGCATAGTTTTAGAGAAAACAGGGTTCTTTCTACTAAAACAATACAATAACAACAAAACACTTGAAAATCTCAGTTTCCTGAGAATTAAAACCACAATTTCCCAACTGTTAGTGGTACATGAGATGAGCAGGAGTTAAAATACTCATTTCCTAATTTTCAAGTACATTCAAATTAAATGTTTGCCAAGGTCCTTCATCAAAAAGATTTCTTGGTCATAAATAAATACTCTTAGGATGGGACAGGATCAATGAGAGAAAAACAAATCACCTCAAATACATATAAATAGTGAAATCTGAGAGCCAGCGAGCTCATAAAGAGCATTTTGTCTATATTATTAAGAGTTCTCCAAAGAAACAGAACCAATAAGAGATAGATAGATAAATGGATAGATGGACAGATGGATGGATAGATAGGTAGATAGATATATATGAAGGATGTCTACTTATTTATTTATCATCTCTATCTCCTATTTGTTCTATTTCTATATGTCTGGGACAATAGTTGACCCTTGACCAATATGGGTTTGAACTGTGCAGGTCCATTTATACATAGATTTTTTTAAAATAAATACAGTATAGTACTGTAACTGTATTTTCCCTTCCTATGATTTTTAATAACATTTTTTCTCTAGCTTAGTTTATTGTAATAATACAGTATATAATACACATACAAAATGTGTGTTAACAGCTTATGTCATCATTAAAGCTTCTGGTCAACCGTAGGCTATTAGTAGTTAAGTTTTTGGTGAGTCAAAAATTATATGTGGATTTTTTACTGTGGGGGGGGTCAGTGCCCCTAACGCCCACATTATTCAAGGGTCAACTGTGTATATATATACTGCATATATATATATACTGACAGAGAGAGAGAGAGAGATCCTTCCTTCCTTCTTTCCTCTCACCTGTTAGCAACTATACAGTCCCCCAAATAAGGTAAATCCTCTTGTATCCCAACCTGGGAAAGCTGTAAAGCCCTGTGGAGCTATATGAAGAAATG